GGTGTCATACTCAAACAACCCTCTAGCTCTTGCAATTGGGAGCATCATTATTGGCATGAAAATGACTACAATCCATCTCCCATTTTGGTGAGTATCACAATCCAATGCCACCACCATCACTTCAATTTTAATTAGCTGCATCATTCACCACCACCGTTTCTACCCTTACCACCATCATGCAAATACTCATAATTTGCAGTGTATTTTGAATATTTATTTCATCCTTATCCCTGCTATAATGCAGTGCACAATACACAATAAATGATAATAGAAAATTGTAGATGATTGAAATATGTTTTTGACTATTGTAAGATATTGTGCAGAGTGAGGGAAGAAAGCAGTGGGAGTAAACAGAGGGTGTGGGGAAAAGAGAGAACAGCACCAACTGTGCTGATACTGAGGTACGTAAGCTACACACATATCCAACTCTATCATGTGCTTCTTTCTGTTGCAAACGACAAAACCAGTATGCTACATTGTTCAACCACACTTGTTTCCAAACACACTTTATCGATCATGTTTTTATTTTACCTCTACAATGCCAATTTTGTCGTCTCTTCTAATTTTACCCACTATTTTTAATATAAGAGAAAATAGATTATGCAGTGAAGAGTTTACGTTTTATTTGGTCCCAATGAGACTATGACACATGACAATGTAACAATGATGAAGATAACAGCATTTCTAAATTACAAAAACTACATTAATCTTTAAAATCAAATCATGTTAAAAATAGTTAATAAGAAAATTAATCACCCCAATATCATCATGCCTAATTGACTTTTTCAGATACCTTCCACAAATGAAATATTATGAAAGCGTCACGGATATTAAATATTATTTATCATATAAAAAAATTGTTCGTTTTCTTCGGATGTCCGTTTATAAAATATTGCAGATTATTTTTATATATGTGTACGAATATTCTCGATAATCTTTTACTTTTTTAATTTAAAAAAATATTCATAAATTATTATTTTTAACACAAATTTAAAAAATATGTTAAAATATAATCAAAGTAAAATTACATAAGAAAATATTAATATACGTTGAATTAGTCAATTTAAAACATGAATTCGAATAAGTTGCACAATGAAATGAAATTCATTTATTTAAAGACAATTTAATTTCATTGATCGAAATGAAAAATCATAAAATTAAAAAAATTAAACTCTAGATCATTCTTAAAAAAATCATTAATAACTTTATTTAAATAATTTAATTCTTAAAAAAATTATAAAAATAAATTGTGATGTTTTCAATTTGATATCATGATATTGCATTTACTTTATTAACAATCACATAGTTAAAATACTAACCTTTTTTAGAGACGGATTAAGAGGAAAGTTTTATAATTTAAGTTAGTATTTATGATTTTTTGTCCTTAAAGTTTTGTAATTTTTATTAATATTTATAATTTTGATCTTAATTTTAAGAATTATTAAATATATATAATTGTATATTTATAAATTTTATTTTATTTTTTTATATATATTAATAATATATTATTTGATTGCTCAAAATAAATAATCAAGATTAACCATTATGTAAGTATATAAATAAAAATTTTTGTCATCTCTAATGCTGTTATCATCTACCAAAAAAAAAAATTCAAATAAATGTTATTAAAATATTTTATGTCAAAAAAATGAAGAATATTTTTAATATAAACTAGAAAAAGATAATAGATTATTTACTTAAAAAATTTCATTGTATTTTTAATAATAAAAATAGAAATATTTCATAAAAAAATCTAATAATTAATTTCAAAATAAAAATATTTAAAGTTAGAAAATGATTTGAAATAATAAAAGAAGCATATTATTTTTTAATAAAAATTATAAAAAGTAAATAAAATATTTATATGAAAAATGTCATTATTTTCATAATAATAACAGAATAGAGATATTTTATAAAAACTAAAAAATAAAGTATAATATAATTATTTATAAAATTAATAAATAGAAATGTATAATTTAAAATTAAAAAATAAACTACATTGCCTCATTGTCGGACCATATAATTATTTAATATTAATGCATAATTATTAAACTCTTATGACAAACATAAAAAGAAATAAAATTATTTTCATAGGTTCAAATCGATTGTAATTACAAGCTTACTTGTGTTTTGTTCATAATGATTGCTATCAGCTAGGGCTGAGGAGTTGAACCAAACAAGTGTAATGAGCCTGCCTATGGACATTAGGAAAGATGTCGGCCTAGTTGAAATCAAAAGAGACCCATGCAAAAGCCCAATTTATTTTCTTTTTGTGGGCCTTAGGTTTCCAAAGATGTCCTGCAATTGCATATTTCTATATACAAAGGGACATTTATTTTAAGGTATAAAAATATTACATTGTCAGAAACGTTATAATCAGTAATTTTATTTTTCGAAATATTTTAAATATATGTATTTTGAATATAAAATGATATTGGGTTTGTTAGTACAACCTAAATTATAGAGAATTGGCTCTTGCTTCATGCCCCCATAATTTTGTTCTGAATCTCCATATTCCAAAAGTTAAATATCTAAATATCTTTTTTATAATTTTGTTTTTTACCTTAATTTATTTTTCTTTTATTTATATATAATTTCTGCACTTCATCCCTCAACATCTCTATCCTTTGACTATTTTATTTTTTTTATTATCATTTCCATTGAAGGTATTTTCTAACAATTAAAGATAAATAATAATTAATATTAAGTATGAATTATATGTCTTGCACTCAAATTACACAAGTAAACCAAAATTGCTCAATCTGAAATAGTATCGCAAAATGAGTTTGAATTCCATAAAAGTCAATCTAGAAATGCATTTCGGATTGAGTGTCCTGAAATGTGTTTTCGAAAAAGTCAATCTGGAAATACATTCTGAATTGGGTGTTTCAGGATATGTTTTTGAAAAGGTCAATCCAAAATGCATTCTAAAAATAAAGGTGAAGATAAATTTAAGAGTAAAATAATGTTTAATTTAATTATATATGAGGGTGCACGGAGAAATTATGTAGGTGCAAGAAACAATAACCTAGAGAATTTAGATGTAAAAGATAGGAATGACAAAATGAACCAGTCCACCCTATTTTAGTATGTTCCACATTTAGCCTGCCAAAAATGGGGTGGAGTAGACAGGTCATAGACTCCAAGCACGTCAATAATTTTTATTATATATATTTTAAAAATATATATCTTTAATTATATGAATAATTTTAATTTTTTATTTATTAATTAATATCTTTATTAGATAAATTAAAAAATATTATATTTATGTGTTAAAATAATTAATTATAATCAATAATTTAAATTTAATTAATTAATTTTTATAATTTAAGTTATAATATTATAATATATTTATATATTTTAATAATATAATACTAAAAAAATATAATATTTTTAATTATAATTTTTTTATTTTATTTTAATATATAAATATTTTTTAAGTGGACTAATTCATCTTATCCCACCCTTATTTTTAGTCCACTAAATTAGCGAATTAGACGAGATGACCAAAAGGAGGTAGTTGATAATACATCTCACTATTTTTTTAGCCATACCAGCGAACCGATCTGTAACCAGCAAAAATCTAAACAAGAGCATATGTTAATGAATTTAGAAGTAACATTTATGATATATATTTTAAATTTTATGAATAAAAAAACAACAAAATCATAGATTATTGAATAATCTATAACATTTATTTTCATATTTGAACAAAAATTTGATGGATCAGTAAGTAAAGTCAGTCCTTAGCCAATAAACTTAGAAAAAAATGCAACATTTGCTTAATATGTAAAAAATTTGAAGTTAAATTATTATGTTCACAATTAAGATGACAGTTACTTTTGAAAACTGAAGTATTTTGATTTATGATTTCTTACCTGGGTTTCTTTCTTTAATATTCTCCCGTTCATTTAATCACGTATGATAATCCAGCGATAATATTATAATAATTATTTGAATTAATTTAGTTAGTCTAATAAATCTTAATTATTATTTTAATTACTATGTCTCTACACTATTTCAATATAAAGTGTAACTATTGTATAATTTAATCTTCACATTAAATATAGTTTAGATGCAGTATACCTCTTTCTTTGTATAGTCTCTCTATAATTAATTGATCACATTAATAATTCTTGTTTTATTTAATTTCTAAAATAAAAAGTCAACTGTAACATTCAATAAAATATATATTAATAACTGATAATAAATAATTATTCTTACATAATCATATATGTAATTATGGCATGGAAAATTTTAATCCTGTCCAATATTTGTAATAATATGAATAATAATTTTAATTTTACGAAAAAAAATCCACACATTTTAACGCATTCATTGTAGTTTTAAAAAGGTATAACAAAATTAAAATGTACAATATTTAGTAAAATTGAAAACAAATTTTTAATCAATCATATGAGAGTGGGTTCAAATCTAGTTACTTTCAAATGCATGGAAGTAATCTGTTTAAGCAAAAGAGCCAAAAACATAGCGTGGGCAAAGATTAAGGTTTCCTGTTCATAGTGGAACCTCTGAATACATGTTGTTTCATGTGCTTAAAGCAAACCTATGCAAATCTCAGTTTTTAGCCATTGAGTCTCAGCAAAACATTTCCTTTGCCACCAAGCTTCACCCTCAAGAAGTTGGTAACTGAAATCCCACGCATTTTCTCAGTTATCTTCCAGAAACTCGTGCATTCGTAACCATCACGTATATGCTTAAAACAGAAAACGCATTCTTCTAACTAACTTACTTTTCGTGAAACCAACGAACACAAATCAAGTTAACAGCTGATACACCAAGTTTTCAGTTACTGTTTCGTGCAAGTCATGACAACACTCCTTCCCTCTCTTTGGCTCTACTCAGATTTGCCCCTTATATCTCAAAGCCTAACTACATAGATGCATGCAAGTTTAACAAACCTATGCAAAAAACAAAAAGTTTTATCAAACCACAATACAAAAGTCAGGTTTTAGGAAGCTGTCAGAAATTTATAGCCGATGGATGCTAAAGAGGACCTGTATATGTATAATTCTGATAATGGTCAACAAAAGCTACCACTTCTGCATAACATGGAGGTGCCAGATGCAAATAGAAGCCTCGTGCAGAGAGCCATAAGTCAAACATTTCAAAGCACAGCCCATTTGGCAAATCTCTTACCAACTGGCACTGTTCTTTCTTTCCAACTTCTATCTCCAATAGTCACAAATCAAGGCAACTGTGACTCGGTATCCAAGTTGATGACTGCTACACTTGTGGCTCTTTGTGGTGCCTCTTGCTTCATGCAATGCTTTACTGATAGCTTCAGAGATGATAAGGGGAATGTTTGTTATGGACTTGCCACCTTCAAGGGCTTGTGGGTCATTGATGGATCCACCACCCTTCCACCTGAACTTGGTGCAAACTTTAGATTGAAGTTTATAGATTTCATGCATGCGGTGATGTCAATTTTGGTGTTTGCAGCAGTTGCATTATTTGATCAGAATGTGGTAGACTGCTTCATTCCATCACCTTCAACCGAGATACGGGAAATCCTAACAGTGTTGCCAGTAGCCATAGGGATTTTTTGCAGCATGCTCTTTGTGGCGTTTCCTACACAGAGGCATGGAATTGGCTTTCCACTCTCACCAAAGTAAATAATGGGGTCCTTCATATTTATGTATATTGACCACTTTCGACTGTGATTGCGTTCGATTCTCTTGTCCGTAACACATTATAAGAACTTCATTGTTCTGATAGCATATAAATAAAGTTGATCAATCTATTTATGGAATTGGAAGAGTGGATCAGATGCAATTCTCAATATGGATCTGTCCAACGGCTAAGCCCTCACAAATTGGCAAGAAAACTAGAAACAGAATAATTACAGGTGGATTTGTGGACTCCACTGTAGACAGCAAGACAAACCCTGATATATGAATCAATTCCATTTGTTTTCCTCTCTAATTGAAAGCTTATTATGCATTGTTTTGTTCCTACTATATTCTTTACATTAAACTCTAGTTTATTTTATTGGGTTGAATTTATTTAACACTTCTTACACCAGTAGTTCAAAACGAGCCGGTTCAGAATCTTCTAATAAGAAGTATATTCTACTAGTTTGTTGGCAATAATGTATTATACACCTTTGCATGATATATAGATTCAAGAACCATAAATTCCTTTCGAAGCAGCTGTTATTATATATACATAGTTTCAGCAGAGATGGGATTTACAGCTTATTTATTATTCTAGATCACCAGAATATTTCAGCATAGCTTTCAGTGAAAACCCGAAAGAGAAATGTGTCAAAAGTTTCTTAGCTTCCCATAGCCATCATACACTGAAAGCAAGCATGCAGCATTGAATACGAATGAACAGACCTAAGAATGCTATAACTAGTATCTCAGATTCAGAGTTCATCCATATACAAGTTCTTGTAAGTTTGTAAAAAAGGTGCATTCGTGTAATTTAAGAATAATAATACTTTCAACAGCCAATTTTCACTTGATAATAATAATAATAATAATAATAATAATAATAATAATAATAATAATAATAATAATAATAATAATTTAAATGCATATAAAAGATGAGAAAGATGTTGAGTAAAATTAAATTAAAAAGATAATAAGAAGATAATTAGTTTAAGAGTTTATTGGGATAAAATTAAATAAAAAAAAGATAATGAGAAGTTAGTTGTTAGATTATTTTAATCTAATATTGGTTCATATAATTTATAGAATAATTTTAATGTAAATGCTTTTAATGTGATGATTATTAGATTATAAATGTAAAGTTATGGAAATTATTTTGAAGTTATTAAAGTTAATTTCCTCTCTTCTCACTTTATTAATAGTATTATAGTATTGTAACTACCTAAAAGTTATATTTTAGTTTCTTATGTTGAAGATTAAAAGTTATATTCTTGAACTATATAAGACAAGGGACTTTAATAGAAGAGGGATATTAGACATATTCTATACTATCAAAAAAGTCATATAAGGAAAGGGAAAGCAAAATATCCATCAAGAGATATTTTGCAATAGATCCAAATAAGATTTTGAACACTTCTAATAATACATTTGTGAGAATTATCGATCCTAAGGTTCTTATGAAATAGAATAGTTTCTTGAATTGAATTAGAATATTTGAAACTTCAATTTAATTTTGGTATCAAAGCCAGATTAGAAATTTATGATTTTTCGTGAAAGATGTCTTCCCCAAATTATAGAAACCCTAATTTAAAATTATGAAATTTAGGAATTTTATTTCTAAAATATGGTAAGTTGCAATTTCAAATGAAATTTGGGAATTAATTGTATGGAAAATTTGTAATTACCAAAGTGATCAAATTTTAAGTTTTAATTAATTTCAAAGTAAAGTTGAATTATATCAATTACCCTTAAAGTAAACGATGTTAAATTATGCATATGTTATTTGATTTATGGGTTAATTGAAATTTATTTTTATAAGACAATTTTGGATTACCAAAAGGTGAACCATTGCTTATAACTGGTAATATAAATTATTTATTTCATTTGTGTTAAGTGTATGTTTATCCAAAAATGTCATAATGACAAAAATAAAAAGGCCGAGGTGACGAGAAGGAAGAAGGAGTTCAGCAAAACAGGAAAGGTAAAGGACGTGGTTGGAGATGATGTCAATCGACGAGCCACTCAAACATCGAGTGCTTCAAGTGTGACAAGTATGGTTATTATGTGAAGGATTGTTATTCAGACAAATATTTCAACTGTGAAAAGGTGGGACATTTTATGACAGAATGTCAAAAGATGGAAAAGACCTATCTCGCAAGGAGACGGAAGTTGAAGAAATAATATTGTTGATGGTCAATCTTAATACAAAAAATAGAAGTGATGGAGTTTCGAAAAGATACCGATCACAAGTCGATATGGTATTTGGATACGGGTGCAAGTAATCACATGTGTGAGGACGAACACCTATTTAACAAATTAGAGAAATTTGAGGGAGATCATGTGTCTTTTGGAGATGGCTTAGAGGTCTTGGTAAAAAATCGAGGTATTATTTGTTTCTTGCAGAATGAGTCACCTAGTCGAGTCAATCCGATATGTGTTTTATGTTTCAGATCTTAAGAGTAATCTTTTGAGTATGAGACAACTGATAGAGAGAAGATATTTGGTATTCATGAAATACCAAATACTAAAATTAAAAGATAAGTTCAGAAGGTTGATTGTCCGAGTAAAGATGAGAAAGAATAAGTTGCAACTGAGAAACATAATTTGGTCACATGCATTTTTATCATCTAACTGAGTTGATTCAAAATGATAATCATGATATTGATTCGAATGTGTGGGTTGATGAAACAAGTGAGTGGAACTAGGGAGAATTAGAGGATGATAGAGATTGAGATGTTACACCACCAGTAGTAACCAGTTCAAAAAACCAAGGAGGAAGAAACAATAGTATCAGTGAAGTTGAAGAAGAACATAAAGAGCATATGCTTGGATTACCAAGTATAGAGGGGATAGTTTACGAAGATGTGACGAGGATCGAACTTTAGAAAAATGTCGAGTGTAGAGAAAAATTCGAGTGAAGTCTAAGTAATGGATTCTGAGGTGACTATGTCCAAACTGTTGTGGACAAAATGATACAAGTTATTATGGATGAGAAAGTCTGAACTATTGTAGACGAGAAGTCCTGAATTGTTATTAAAGAGAATATCTGAGTTAGAAAACACAATGGCACATCTGTTAGTGTGAAACATGTATTCAAGAAAGATGAGAAACTATATAGCAGCGGAGGAATACCAACGGAATATAGCAGAATATAGAAATTTTATAGAGTCTTGTGATTGTGTGAAGGTGAATAGTTCATTGGCAAAAAATCCAAGATCGATTAAAAGATGATGACATATACTTGCGACTTGAAAAAATTGATCGCTTGCAAGTTTTTAAGGAGTATATTTGGGACTTGGAGAAAGTTAAAGAGAAGGAACGCAAGCATGAGGAGGAAAAGGTGAAAAATGCGAAAGAAAGGGAAGAGAAATAGAAGGAGAAGGAGAAAAAAAAAAGAAAAAAAAAAAGTCAAGGAAACATGTGAAGGAAAATAATGTGGAACTCGTATATGTGACAAACTAATATCAAGTTGCTAATATTTTTACGAAATCACTTCCTACTGTGTTATTTGAAAACTTTAAGAGACTAATCGGGATGAAGGATGGAAGAAACTCGAGTGCTTGGAAACCTAGATATTTGACAAATTGACAAGTCGACTGAGTTAGGAGCTTGGAAAGTTTTGAAGACAACAAGTCGAAAGGTCGGGAAATCGGTTAAGTCAATTTCAATTTTTATTGCAGAGAGATTTAATTTTACAGGAGAGTTTTGTTGGGTAAAATTAAATTAAAAAGATAATAAGATAACTAGTTTAAGAGTTTATTGAGATAAAATTAAATAAAAAAAATAATTAGAAATTTGTTGAAACATTTTGATATTGATGATATTTTGGGTGATTATTATTTGATTTTGAGAAAATAAAATTATATCTTTGTGATCATATATGAATAGAGCATTGTATTCTTTCCCTTGACAAATAATCAGTAAAAGACAATTTTAAAAAAATTATTATAAAAAAAATGACTAATGATTCGAATGCGTCAACTATGGTAAATATAAAGAAAATTATAGGCTTCATCAAGCCTTTCCACTTGGAGATGAAAATGGGGGTAAAAAAATTTAAGTGATTGAAATATAAGATTAGTAATTTAAAGGGAAGACAAAATATATATATATATATATATATATATATATATATATATATATATATATATATATATATATATATGATTGAGTTAACGGTATAAAAGTTAAGACAACGATTGATGTACATATTGTTAATTAGATGTATATCAAATTAGATTGATATCCCCACTTGAAAATTATGAGGAAACAAAATTATAAGTTAAATTAGCTTGTTCTTAACCTTTAATTAATGTACAACTTGATGTAAGAGATGAAGAAGCAACAGGGGCAATTAAGGAAATAATCACTGTTAGTGGGGCAATACACGTGGCAAGTGATCCTAAGGAGGTGAGAATCAAAAGGAGCACCAGGACAAGGACATCGAATTCACGTTTGAAAGGATTCGTGTGTGACAACAAATAATTATATAAGATGTGTTTTATTGGATAGTGGGAGAGGGGTGTGTGTTGAATGTGTTTTCTCTCTCTTTTATGTTATGCGAATATTTTCTGTCCTTTTGACAATTTCTTCTCTGACTTGATAATACAGTGAAATATTCATAATACTGCAGTTGTTGGTTAACCATTATAACATTTGGTGCTTTCATCAATGAACAAGTGACTATGGCGGAAAACACACGATTGAAGGAACTTGCCGCCGACGTGAAGCATATTTTGGAGCTGATGGAAAAAAGACATACAGAGTACACGTCACGAATTGAGAAATTGGAGGAAGGCAATTCTTCAAGGAATGAAGGCTCTCCCACTTCAAACCTGACTCATCACAATGTAGCCCAACCATTTCAAGTTCGTTCTGTTAAGCTTGACTTTCCACATTTCAATGGTTCTGATGTTCTTGAGTGAATCTTCAAGGCCGAACAATTTTTTATGTATTATAATACTCCAGATGAACAAAGATTGACGATTGCAGTAGTTCAT